CACAAGTTTACCAGGATATCCGAGGGGCGATTGATGTTATCTAACGCAAGTACTTGGAATAAGAAATTTTCGAAATTACTCGAGTCTCCAGGGGAACAGAATTAAAAGTTCTCGACTGGAAAAAAAAAGAAGAAAGGAAGAGAAGCAAGAGAGAAAGATAAGATTACATGACTGATCTAGGTGAAAAGCTTCTCGTTGTGTTTGTGTAATTAAAAATGATCATTTTTCATTCGAATTTTATTTTTCTTCATTTTTTTTTTTTTTTTTTTTTTTTTTTTTTTTTTTTTTTTTTTTTTTTTTTTTTTTTTTTTTTTTTTTTTTTTTTTTTTTTTTTTTTTTTTTTTTTTTTTTTTTTTTTTTTTTTTTTTTTTTTTTTTTTTTTTTTTTTTTTTTTTTTTTTGAATTTTTTTTTTTTTTTTTTTTTTTTTTTTTTTTTTTTTTTTTTGGTGGCTCTTGAGAAGCTTCTTTATTCGAGGATTTCCCCTTGAAAATATTTTCATCTTAGTTTATCGATTATAAAATATTCGATTTATGAAACAAGTAATCTCGTCAGTAATCAAATAGGAATTTTACAAAATCAGAAAGTTTCGTTGCTTTTGTGTAATCGTTATCGACTTATAAATTCTATTGTCTTTCTCTTTAGAAACCACGGTAGATTTTATTGCATTGCGAGGCAAAAGGTCTTCGAAGTATGTTACAACAGACATTTCCTACTATACATTCCCAGGGATTGAATAATTCCGTAAGAACCACGAGGAAATATTACCCAAGAATATTCTCGATAAACACCATGGAATTTTAAATTAAAGCGAAAGAGATACTTTCTACTAAAAAGAGAATTAATATTAAAATTAAATCATTCCTTTTTCCCCGTTAATTTCACACGTTTCGATAAAGTGAAAAAGGTAATATCTATGCATATTTCGTTATTTTATATTTGAAGGGATACTTGAAGGGATATTTATCTTCTCATTGTATCGAATTCCACAATTACGTTGATTTAACGTTAAGAGACAAATTAAGGTGAGAAAACGAGGGTTATCTCTGCTATGAAAATATAAATTTGCATAAAGATTCACAACCTGAGACAATATTTTCCAGGAAATCTCAGGAATTTCAACGAAATATATGAAATTTATTAGGCTTGTCCGAAAAGTTTTTTTCGTCTCATAAGTTGATAATAGACGAACAACAATTTCCCTTTTATATTTTATTGGATTAGATGTGATCCATTTCGTTCTATTTCTATCATCATGTGCGTGCATAATTCGATAAACTAATATAAAACAAAAAACATTGAGCGTCTATTATTTCCTTATAAAACGAAAGAAACATTTCGGACAACCTAATATCATAATAAAACATATTACGGGCTTACGTGTAATCCATTTTATCATATTAATGTGTTCATTAAAAAATATAACGTGTTCGTTAAATAAAATTCGTCTGGAAAGATTTAATTTCGTTCGTAGAAGTATCAATTTCCATAAAGATCTACAGTGTGATATTACCATAGTTTATTGCTATATAGCTGGAGATATACAATGTGATATAACCATTGCTTGCGAGCAAATATTCATCGCTGTGTTTTCCAAGAACCGTAAAGCGACTTTACGTCATTGCATCGATAAGCTCGCTACTCGAACATCCTTACAGCTTAGGTAAGATAAATCTGGTTGGAACGGGTTGACAAATATCGATGGCTCGTCACGAAACCGATCGAGGGTAGCAAAATGCAACTGGCTAGGGTGCGACTCGAATCGAACGAATATTCTCTATTCGGATGGAGGAACTGTCGCTTCTCAGAGCTTATACATTCAGCGTGATGTCACCGTCGGGCAACGTAGGTCGATATATCATGCGGGTAACGGGCGAGATAGGAAAATATGCGGACATTTTCGATCGATCGACGCCCTGTCAAAGTCGGGGCAAATGCACGTATCTGCGTTTGGAAGTGGAATATTGAATCGCCTGTTTCTCTTATCAACTACATTTTACGAATACAAATTGGAAACCGCGCAATAAAAAAGAATACGAAGAACGATGACGAATGGTTTTAATCGGACAATCGTTTTCTCAGGGTATTCCACTCGTCTTCGAGCGATGGACCACGATGCCAACCACTGGAATACTTCTACGTACGATCTCCACGCTTTTATTGTTTTATTATTTTATCGAATTATCAACATGATTTTTTATTTACACTTTACGTTCAGTGTAATAATGAAATTTTTTATTGCTACCAGCTGCTTGTCGAAAGACGTGCAATGAGCAATGCGAATGGGAAAGAGCAGAATAGCAAGTGTAAAAATCAAATGCAGACGTCTTTTCACAATGTGCAGGTAAATATATTCGTCGTTGTTAGATCACATAAATAAATAGAAAGAAATAGTTGGGAATTTTACTTAAAAAGATCAATCTATTGATCGCCATCGTTGCATCTTAAGAGAGAAAAGTTGATGCGTGTTGCGGGAATTTCGAGGCAACGAGCGTTTTAACCAGAAACACGTAGAATTCGTAAAGCTAAGCCAGCTTTTATTTGCTAATGGAGTAATTTCATGGCAGCGTTGGTCATGTTCTAGTAATTAAAAGCTCGTGAATAAGCGATTCAGCAGCGTAGCAGCGCGATTAGAACCATGGCGCTCCTATCTTCGATTTTGATTAGGCTATCGATCGAATAGAGAACTTTGGATTCGTGGACTTCAATCGACTTCGATCAATCATACGTCGTTAATAAATAAACTACGGGCGTTTACGCAAAATTATATTTTCATGAATACGACTAGAAATTAAATAGAAATTTGTTTCACCCTATGAATATTTTAACGAAAATTTCACTTTGGATATTTTCTACATTTTTACATTTTCGCATTCTGTACATTTTTGTACATTGAAATCTTCCACAAAAACAACTGCAGCCAATTATTTAAATTATAATCGTCTTTCATAGACAGCAGGAATTATTTTTTTAATAAACTGAAGTCACGCATGTGGTCGATGTGAAATTACAGAGCAAGCCACCTAACATTAGGATTTTAAAATAGCCACGCAACTATTAATTACACCAAAAGTGTGTTTCAACCAGAAATTAAATGTTTCCAATGCGATTAATTTCTTGTTCTTAAGATATAAAAGATACAAAATTTAGTTCTTCCTTTGTTGCATTCCTTCGTAAATTTCTTGACGCATTAACTTAATCCATTTTTCCAAAACACTTTTAGTTAACTTTCGTGTACTTAAATATGTGGCGAAATTTCTGTTTTTCTACAAATATTTAAATTTTACTTCAAGAAAGAAATTAACGCGTACAAAAGAAATATTTCATGGTATAAATAATGATTTGATAATGATAAATCATCAGTAAATACCAACCAGAAATTAAATGAATCTAATGCGATTAGTTTCTTGTTTTTATTTCTTATAAGCAGAAATCAAACGGAGATAAAAAATGTAGTTCTTCTTCCTTTGTAGCATTCCTTCGTACATTTCTTGACGCATTAACTTAATCCACTTTTCCAAAACACCTTTAGTTAACTTTACGCTCTGTAAATAACTTTCGCGTAGTTAAATATGTGGCGAAATTTCTGTTTTTCTACAAACATTTAAATTTTGCTCCAAGGAAGAAATTAACGCATACAAAAGAAATATTTCTTGGTAAAAATAATAAGGATTTGATAATGATAAATCATCAGTAAAACGATTATATTATAACGGTAATATATCGTTCTTTTGATGGTTCGAAAAGCGGTGAATGGTGGCAATTTGTTAGATCAGAGATATAATCGAGTTAACCTAGATACCTAGGTTCTACAGGCTGAACTTTCGGTTCCGTGATAATGCAATCGTAAGGGCGTTGATAATTAATAGCAATTATGTTCACGTCATGTAAATGAAGGTGCAGACTCCTGTTACATATGTATCTCATGATACAGTACTTTAACTTACGTTCGTTTGTCTATGAAATTTATCCAATTGAGTCCTGCGTAATTTCTCTAATTTTCTCTAACATTCTTCGGTGATATAATAATAATTGCAAACATATTATTGGAATATTAAAGGTTTTGTATCCTCTACTACAATTAGTAAATACTACTACTACTATTAGTTTACCACAATTAGTAGTGTAGGATCTTTACTACAATTAGTTTATTTACTGTTGAGGTTATTCGATGTGTAAACAGAGAAAACTCGTGGATAAGTTGTAAGGCAGAAAATATATTTAAATAGAGACGTGTAATTATAAATAAGAATACAATTTGAGCTGGTCCTAGCTGTGTTACCCAATAACTGAAACCCCCGAAGCCAACGTCGCCTGTCTTTCTTTTTTTTTTAAGGAGATTTAAAGTTTATTGAGTCCAAGAATACAGTTTTAGGTACATATTCACAATAAACGGTGAATTTTTGTAATTATTATGTAATTATTGTGTATTATGTGTCGGCGCTTTACACTTTTCGTTGTATAATACAATTTTTGGGTTTAAGCCGCTGGGGAGCGGAGCTTCTTTATGTATTTTCTTTTTTATTTTTTTCTGTCCTGAAAACTTGGTCAACGTCGTCTGTCTACTGTTTATGGTCTGACTTCGTCGCAGTCTTTTGTCTACGCGCTGTCGATGGCTTCAGTGCTTGAGGAAACTAAAAAGATCAGATGTAGAGTTTTCTTAGAAGTGGCAACCACTTCAACATTTACAATAAATGGATTAAACAGATGTTGATTAAACAGGAAACGATGGTTATTTAACGTGAACTAATCACAATAACGTATTATAATTAAGACAACTAGATAATTAGTTTGCAACTCTCGTCAACACGGATCCAACGCTCTCTCGACAACGTTAGCAACACTCTCTGACTACTCAACTCACAATGTCTGTTAATTCGTTTTTGTCCCTTAGCTTGCCTTTTGTCTTAGCCTCGCGTCTTTTGTCTTAGCTCCACCACGCACATGTTCCGCAACCGCTTGTTTATAATTCGCCCGACACCCCCCAGCCCCCTCCCCCTAGGTCCACGATACTACAGTATGACATAGTTTTCGTTGATGAAAGGAAGTAATTAAGAGGATTCTGGATTGAAAGATAAACGATCGATCGGGAAATCAATTAACTTCTATAAATAAATTTACCGAGAAAAATGTAATTATTATTTCTGCTAATTGGAAGTTCGTTTCTTCGCGGAAAGTGTACTAATTGTTCGTGACAGCGTACACGCTATAGGTCACTTTAGTTATTTAAATTAGCCGGCTTTAAGTGCTGACCAAACATGTATTTACTATCGTCGATATTATAGTTGATCAATACCGGTGACAAGTCATTGTTGCATTATTGTTATTGTGAAATCTTTTTTTTTAAAAAAGTTCATTTTTCCTTTAAGCTCTAGGTATGTTATTTTGAAATAAATTCTTATCTATTAGAAAGGCGAAGGAAACTTCAGAGATAGACGAAATATTATACAATTTTTTGATAAGATCTCATATGTATATATTTTTCTTGATTTTATTTTTTGATGTCACTTTATGATCAAACATGAGAATTTTAATGTGACATAATTGAAAATAAACGCAGCTTGTTAGGTTCGAAAAAGTCTTTTAAAAATAGTCGAAACAGTTGAATAGTTGAGCAATGAAAGATACAATTATTAGGACAAAATTACCTTACGAGGATATAATTATTATTGTTTTAATATCTTTAATAATATAAATATGAAATTTTTCGAGGGGGATGAAGGAACACATAGAAACAGAATTATATGGTAACACGAGATCGATTGACAATGTAACACTATATTCTCAAGAATGGAGAACTTGATCCATCATGTTACTTTCCTCGTCTTTATTTTACATTTTCAGATGAAGATCGGAGGTTATACAGGGTGGTTGGAAAAAAGAAGTCGAAAATATAGAATAAAAATTTTTTTACATTTTTTTTTAATAAATATATATATATAAAATAAAGTGCATGCGTACCGAGCGAAAATTCAAAGTCGATTTTCTCGAAAACAAAGCCTCAAACGAAAAATGTTTATTCTATGTTTTCGACTTCTTTTTTCGCGTACAATCACCCCCTTTCCGCTTGTACCACTAGTTACCAACCACCCTGTATACAAATTATGCTTTCATATATGTCGAAGCGATATTTTCATATCCGGGCTAATATCTTTTAATTTGCATGAAATTTCGCCCGACAAAGGCGGACTAATCTCGTTAATGAAATTACGATTACACCTAAGGGATCGGTTCGCATGCCGTGAGTTACTAAAAAATGTATCGATCCGAATATCCAGCGCGTTCATTACATCGTGGATTCTTATCAGAGCACAATCTGCCTTGTAAATTACCTTCTACGGATCGTTTAATAACGTTTGCGCTTGAATTAGGATAAAAACGTCACGAACCCCTCGTTATATAAAGTATTTTTAATCGAAACTGTTAACCAAACTCTCTCTTCGATCGTTCAAAAATTACGCTGTATTAGGTGATTAAAGGTAATTGGTAAAATTATAATTAGTACTGTTAAAAAAAAAGAAAGAAGAGAGAAAGATACAGAGGGAAAGGAATGAAACTGGTTTTATTGGCACAAGGATCGTTACGCAAAGTATTCGTCGGCATATCTCCAATTAGACTGTTACTAAATGGCTTCTCGACACGAGTATCTTGCACTCTTCACTCCAATTATTAGGTGCAATAACCAGATGGCTCGATTCTTCGCTAATTTCCTGTTTCTCTGATGAGGCTAGTCGTTACGAAACAACGATGACAGAATATTCAAAGCTGTTATAGATTCTTCGATTAATCATCGTTACGTAAACGTAGGATTGTAAAGGTTACAGTAGAAAATTTTTAAGTGGAACGATATTCTAAAGAACTCGAATTCTTTAATCCTTAATTACGAATCACGATCTGATGGAGAATTTTAGAAATTTCAGAATTTCAGTAACAGATACGTATACTGGATTAATTTCTATAACGCAAGAACTTGATAAATAAAATTGCTAATTATAAATTATCTGCAAGACTCTACATCCGCGACAATGGATAAAACACGGCCGTTTGTATTTGAATGGTTTATTTAAATTCCCCATAATTTTAACCATATCTATTCTATTAATATATATTTTGTTAGATCGTTTCGCAACTGAAGATACTCGAATTTTCAAGCTTTAGCTCAAAATTGCAGTAACAAAATAAAAATCCTTTCAGGGACGAATTAACACGTTGCTATATAACTTGACACGTTCTGTTAGAGAAAGAAACGATCGTTTGGTGGAACGCGATATCGCCAATGTTGGATACTTGTGAAGATGATTGTGAACGAGTGAAAATGATTTGGGCGGTCGAAGAGTGTTGTACTGTGTGATAGGTAATGGCCGTTAATAAAGTGCTATTAGTCGGATTAACGAAGATACGATAGTACCTAAGGCGTTATTCCGAGATCATTACCCTGGCAGAGTAACGCGCTCCGTGCTCGGTAATAAAGATTCACTGTCTCAACTCCGGCTCCCGGAACAATCAAGTCACTTCCATAAACGATTATGTGCCGCTTTACGGTGTACGAGGCTACTACAAGCTCAGTAAAAAAAAAGGATACGGACATACCAGACGAAAAGAATTCTGAAAAGAATTCAAGACACTCGATACTTTCAAATTATGCTTACTACGAAATAAGAGAACATTCGTATCGAATGCGTTTCTTCTAGTAGCACTTTCATGTGACTAAAAGAATTTGACGCTATGAGAATGAAATGTAATACCAGATAAAAGAATGAAATAGGAAAAACAATTAGTTGGAAAATATAATAAAGAAAATATGTGCTAACATTTTTGCCACTCGCTTTATGTATTATGTTGTGGCAAAAGTTTCTTTCATTTTACAAGGAAATATTCGGTTGGCAACTAAGTGACCTCCTAATTTTTGTTAATTTCCTATTATCACCTAACACTTTGACCGCCACGCCGAAATCATATGTTTCGCTCAGGACGCCACGGGAGTATTTTTATTATTCAAAGCATATAATGGTAAAATAATAATAAATTGACGATGTAAGACAACATTCTTCACCAATGGACCGGTTATCTTATTGATGGTCACGGATGACCACCGTGGCGCCTTGCTAACAGTTGATAACGACATATTGTAACGAAACTTCGTTTGTTTCAACAAACCATTCGCATTCGTTATTTCGTTGTAAACAAAACGTGCAGAATATATTGTTGAAACGTGTGGAAGATATTAGTAAACGGTATTTGCTCTTTCTATATATAATAGTAAGGTACGTCCGCACTTCTAACTTCAATTATATGATTATAAAGCAGCATTTACGATTATTTTCTGAGTTGTGTTTATAAAAATATTCGTAGATTACCCCTGAAAGATATGGATGCAAAAACAGTGCACCGTTAGATGCAACATTTGTTCTCTTTTTTTTATCGATGTTCTAATAAAAATGTTTGATTGCTCAATAGGGTACTTTTTATTTCAAAGTATCTTCTATTTATCCATTAAAATAAAAGAAAACAACTGTTGCGTTGGTAGTGTGGCAAAGAAGATGGTGAGACAAAGAGAGTGGCGAAGCGCGTGCAAATTTGTATCGACGAATATCTTGCAAATCACATGTCAAATAAATCTGAAACTATTTTGATATCAATTCTAAGTGTAATTTAAGTATCGCTATACATTTATTTCGGCGATTAAGATCCACGGTTCTCAACAACAAGAATTAGAATACTTAGAGAAAATGAGGCATGTCTCAAATATTATTATGAAATTGTTGGCCATTTGATAGCGCAATAAAATCCACTGTATGAAGTTTTTAATCTTTTAGAAATCATACAGAATTATCAGCATCCAAAAACACTAAAGACATTAGGTCAAGTCTGCTTACATAGCGCAATAAAATGAGGAAAAATTGACAATGCAAGACTCGAGCATTTCGAACACCAGACACTTTTAACATTTTCTAAGACATAAATATTATTAATTGAGTTGCATATGATAATATCGAAGATATGAGAATTATAGTACTGCATTTTTATAGTATTCCACTTTCATAAGATTACGGGTTCCTTCGTTTTCATATTACCCATTTTTCTATTACATTTACTATTATTTTCTCCTAGATTTTGTTTCAGACTTTCAATACCTAAACTTTCGAAATTCTCTGCCTAATTTATATCAAAATCCAACATTGTCTAGTTCCACACGCGTTAATAAAGTCATCTTCTTTATTACACATCCGCCTTGAGCCCGCGAATCGCTTCAGCGAAGTCACTGGTGAAGACAAAGGCGATCGCCGTTAAAGGCAACGCGAACACCTACTAACCGCTTAAGCATGACAATTAAATGATTGCGGATTTTATCAATACTACTTAATGACAAAATCCGCAATCATTTAGTTGTCAACCCAATATAACGAGATGGAGGAAATATACCCACGTTATACGTTGCAACGCACTCAATAAAATCATTAAACTGATGTAGTCCGCAAGAAAGGATTTAGAAGCGAGATAACCAGATTTCTTTGTTCGTTAAGTCAGAACTAGAAATAGCGCGTGACTACGAGGCGAGCTATTCAAACAACGAAGGAAATTCGAAGCGAAACGAAATAAAACGAGGACGAGGACATTGTGGATTTTCGATTATCGCGAGCAATTATACGGATTGGAGAATTTGGCGGGAATCATCGCAATGTATTTTGTTTGCCTTTCATCGAGCCTTGTTTTCTTTTTCAAGAACACGACCGTGTCCAGCTACGTCCAATCCCGGACCGACGTTGTTCGATCGTCGCTCGATCCTCGAGGATCGCGGCATTTTTCCGTTCCCCGGCCGAACGCCAAGTTGTTTACGCGGCGGGAAATAAATTAACTTCAATCAGGCGCGATAGCTCGTAGACGTGAGTGGGGAGGACGATCAAAAACGAATAAATGGAATTCTATTCCGGGGGGTTGATTAATAGGGGTGATTTCGCCCGCAGCCGAAAGATTTCATAAAAATTCGTCTGATCGTTAGTCCCTCGACACGAAGCAACCAATTCGTTTACTCATTTGTTATTCACGCGAAGTATAGGACGTCTCGTTATTGTACAAATGGGCAGTGAGTGATTGTATGTGATAAGATAAGTGGAAAATATAGATTAAATATTATTCATTCGACAGATGACAATTCAAAGCTTTGTCAAGTATTGGATTGGCAACCGAGTGATTGCGGATTTTATCAATTCCACTTAATGGCAAAATCCGCAATTACTTAGTTGTCAACCCAATATACAGGGTAGTTGGTAACTGGTGGTACAAGCGGAAAGGGGGTGATTCTACGCGAAAAAAGAAGTCGAAACATTATAGAATATGTACACAGAACATTATACAAATGTTATTATAGAATAACAATTTTTCGTTTGAGGCTTTGCTTTCGAGAAAATCGACTTTGAATTTTCGCTCGGTACGCGTCCACTTTATCGCGTCTCGTTATAACGGATCTCACTGTGTTCCAAAGTGTTCCAAAAAAGTGAAAAATTGAAATTTCGAAAAACCCTGCCAGCGTTACCTGTGGAAAACTGTTACCTAACGAATGAACTTTGATTTTTTAATTTCAGATGATCCAGCACCAAGTTATCAGGGGCACCGCAATTTTCCGAGACACGTCCGAATAATTACTGCCATTGCCGTATTTCTTAATATTTCTCCGTGAAAATTTTATACAATATTCTTCGAATGTCATACTTTAATGTACTGTTGGTTTTAATAAAGAGATTTTTAACTGTGTCGTCACAAATAATTCACAAAAACATGTCTTATCTTTGTACGAATTAACCTTACCCCCCCCCCCCTTAAGAGTGTCTAATAATCACGTTAAATTGTTAAACCCTGTTAAATCAACACTTGTACATAAAATTGGAAATATAAACCTCTTCGAACAACTACGACGGCTTGTCCTAACGAAGATACGCAACGTGCCCCTAAAACTAGCGCCAACCCAACAAACTTGACATAAACATAAATTACAATTACTTGATTCGATTAAGACAGATGGTTGTTCTACATGCTATTTAAAATAGGTCGAAAATAGAAAATTCAATTTTTCGATATGAAACTTCGTTTTCAGCAACAACGGGTTTAATAGCTTGCGAGGTACGAGAGGAATGCGACTAATTGTCGAATGAATAACAACGGACAATCGTCAGAAAATTATTCTACATGCAAAACTAACGTGGAATAAATTAAAGTCTGAACAAACGACAAATTTTCGAAACGAGATTTCAAATGCAAGAATTTTCTATTAATTTTTTGCTAATAGAATAGAACCTCGTCATACGCTCGCGCTTGACAAATTTTGGGATTCGATTATTTCAAAAAGGAACCGGGATATGAAGAAATTTTATTCTATATCTTCTACTTATTTTTTTTTTTTAATCACCCTTTTTTTCGATTATAGCACGGAACGCACGCTCCACATACTGTTATTAATAAACGTATTAAGCGAGGAGAATGTTTGGGCGATAGCGAGAAAATTTAAACGGCTGAGAGGATCTCGACAATGAGAAAGATGACAAATGCCTATTTAAATGCAAACGTCAAAATGGAATAGGCAAATGGCTGTACAGTGAGATACTCATGGGACGAAATTAAAATTTTCTCGATTAAGGGAAACTCCATTACCAACTTTTTATCCGTATTCCTTAGATCGTTCGCCAGGTCCTTGAACATCGACGCATTGTAGATTGCTGAGTGGATGCGAACGTGAGATTATGTTCTATCACAGGGAAAAGTCGCAACTTCT